CTGTCTGTCTGTCTGTCTGTCTGTCTGTCTGTCTGTCTGTCTGTCTGTCTGTCTGTCTGTCTGTCTGTCTGTCTGTCTGTCTGTCTGTCTGTCTGTCTGTCTGGTAGTTTACTAAGTTATCTCCATCTTCAGTGTAAAAGGTATCTGATAACTTGTATGTGAGGTATTTACTAAGTTATCTCCATCAGCAAACTTGCCTGTATAAGTTGAGTCAAATCATTATTTGGATACTTATAGTGGTTGTTATGCTGCATTCAGCCTCAGAAGAGTAGATAACACGATTTGTTATTGTTTACACCTAGGCTGCGATATTTGCGCCTTTCCGCCCAATGCATCCAATTGCAGCAAACCTCTAGTAAGTCACCTTTTAGGGATCTTTTCTTTTAATTAACCCCATCTCGGGAACTCCGAAATTTCGTAGGGAAGTTTCTCGGAAAGTCCAATAGTATTGGGGTGTTGAGGTGTCAAATAAACACAGGCTATTCCTAACCCTAATTCTCTCCCTTTCGACTTTTTCGAGACCTCCCCAAAATTTTGAAGTCCCCGAGATTAGGTGAACTAAAAGACAAGTACCCATCACTGTTTTAAGGGGGTGGGGGCAGGGGAGGAAGGCAGTAGATCTATTCTTTCCACCTCCAGGCAAATGGGGTCTATGAATCCACACAAGGAAAGCATAGTTTACTGAAATCTGCATGAGCAGGCAAGCCTTTCTAAATTATACTTGATTGTAAATTTCTGCATGGGAAATTTTTTCATTGTTTGTGTAAAACGTAGTTTACTTAAATTTTCCTTAAAAAATGTAGAGGGTGTTCGTTTATAACCTAGTTCACTCGAATCTTCGATTGCAGACGTTTATTACTATCTGTGTCAAAAGGAATGTTCTCAAATCTTCTATCGCCGACTTCACGTTTATGAGTCCAGCTGTCAATCAAAAGTAATTAATTACATAGCCGCTGGTCAGAAGCCTAACACGGATCGCCACTCTGACATTTCATTGGCTGAGACAGTTCAACGTTGTGTAAATGGATTGAGCCACGTTGCTAATGGTAAAACCAATATTATATATAAAATATAGTTTCAACTTTAAAATTGTCTTTTTTGAAATTGATCATTTTAGTGAAAGTGCTAACTTTCAGTGAAACACATTTGGTTAGTACTTAACATTTATATATATTCAACTAAGGAATTATTGAAATGGTTTTAGTTTGGTGTTTAATTCCCAATACGAAAATACAAAAAAGGACCGTATAGAGATGACGCATCTGGCACATGATGCTAGAGCCATACTTTTATAGACCAATCGGTTCTAGGTGGGTTACATGGTAAACATTACGCCGGTCGCCTTTACTTTCCAGTACTTTACATGGTACCCAATTTAAACTGGGTTTAGAGCCAAGGTGGGTAGGCGTCTATTTTTGCACAGTATACTTCTGTTACCGTCTTTATTTTCCCAGGACAAAGGAATAAAAATCCTGTGTTAATTATTCTTTCTTGACCACGTTTATCCTAGCTAAAAAAAAAAAAAATAATGCCAGTGCTGGGTGTTGCTATATGTTATCAGTAAATACAATTTCTTTGCTATCTGGGACAGTGGCGGGAAACATGAGTTATTGTAACACCATGTTAGATACAACTACATGGCTTTAATGTACCTTAGTTATTCTTATATATTCCAGGACGACGCTAGCAAAGCTTTTATATCTATTAAGATTAAAGATTCGTCATATTAATCTATTGTAGACAATTTGTAATGATGCCTCAACACTTTTAGTTGTGCTCCAAGTTTAAGAGCCGTATAAAACGATTGGTCTTATCAACGTTTTATATATTTTTTATCTTGGTGTTGCGAGATAGAGATTTTGACATTAGCAGGTGTTGAAGGACATAGTATATTTTTTTTTTCAGAGTGTATTCTACATTGTATTTCTTCTCTCAGCACGTTGGAAGAGTTGACTTGTATGTGGCAGGAGTTTAAATCCTTTCCCTGTCTTGTTATTATCGTGTATTCTGTCTAATCTGGATTAATAACTAATCCCATTCTGTGAGCTGCTTTTTTTAAGGGAGTCGGTGTTTTTACAGTCTCTATTTAATTTTCTCCAACGATATCAGTGTCATCTGTATAAACAGGTATTCTTGTTGTTTCTCCTAAAGAACACTCCTCTTTCAATTTCCTAATAATTTTCGCTAGGGTCAAGTTGAAAAGAAGTGGACACAGAGCATGACCTTGATTTAAACCAGATGTCATTTTAAAAGGTACTGACTTGCTTCCTTAATATGCAACTATATTATAAGTGTCTTCTATAGATACATAGAACCCAGCTCTCTTACACAAAATGCCAGCTATCTAAACAAGCAAGCAGTAGCTTTTCAAACTCAGCTTTGACTTCAGTGAAACTATAAAAACATAAGTAACTGAATACAGAAAACATTCTTTATCCTCTTAAGCAGAAGGAGCTCTTGAGGTTTATTGTTGCAGATATTACCCGCCTCCATTCATTTCTCTGGTTGGCCTTATTTTTCTAGTTGGTGACTCAAGTGTGTGTAAGTCTGTGTGGATATTATCTTTCCGTGGTTTTCTGGGTCTGCCTCGTGGTCTACGACCATTCAACTCCCCTGAGTATACACATTTTATCTTTCTGCCATTTGACATTATATGCCCCATATATTTCAGTCTATTAGCCCTCACGATGCTAATGATCAATAATGATAAAAAAATTATGCATTTCGTATTCAATAAATGACATTGAAAAAAATAATGTTGCAGCAATGTTATCATTGAGTAATAACAAGAAACACGACATTATGCTGAAGCAATACATTACTGTATTTAAATATTCAGACAACAAATAAAATAAAAATAACAATAAACGAAATGACAGTATAAAGACCCACCCACCCCCCCCCCCTTTTTCCCTCCCCCCCACCAACCCCAGTTGTATTTTTCACGTTGCTAACAATTTCATTTTTGTTTCCGCAGATATGGGATTCCAACAATGTCTTCCCGTCATTGTCATGGCGGCACTATTGCTACAACAACTGCAGACTGTCACCACTGAGATTTTGAGCTCAAGCGATGAGGCGAAACTGGTCAGCTTGCTAAAGAACGTGATGGAGTGTCGTCAGATCCCTGGCCTAACCATGACTATTGTCAAGGGTCAGTTTTTGGGGTCAATTTATTGTCACTTTCGATAAATGATGATGGTCGGGGCTTTTAATCTAAATTTTGCTGAAATATTTATTGATAATGTTTAACTTAATTCTCATTGCAAAGTGAAGTGATGCTGACATCAGAAGGCGAGTCGACACAGAACCAGTACTGAACTTTATCAGTAGACAACTGGTCAACTGGTTTGGCCATGTAACTAGACTGGCAACAGACAGGCACTACATAGAGCAATCTTATACACATACACTGTGACAAGAACCAAAGGTTAATACCGCAGAAGATGGACGGCGGGAATATCAAAGACACTGAAAAGTACTATGTACCAAGCCAAAAGAGGGGTCCGTTTCAGTGATTTCTTCCTGCCCCTCGAGGCTGCGTGGCATTCCAGAAATATATATATATATATATATATTAATAATAAAAAAAAAAAGATTAGTAGAGTACAACGCTTCCCCCCCCCCCAAAAAAAAAGACCATACACACACACGCCTGCGCGTGCACACACACACATAAACAACTACTCACACAGAGAAAGATAGATAGAGAAAGACAGGCATACATGTTGACAGACAGACAGACAGACAGACAGACAGACAGACAGACAGACAGACAGACAGACAGACAGACAGACAGACAGACAGACAGACAGACAGACAGACAGACAGACAGACAGACAGACAGACAGACAGACAGACAGACAGACAGACAGACAGACAGACAGACAGACAGACAGACAGACAGACAGACAGACAGACAGACAGACAGACAGACAGACAGACAGACAGACAGACAGACAGACAGACAGACAGACAGACAGACAGACAGACAGACAGACAGACAGACAGACAGACAGACAGACAGACAGACAGACAGACAGACAGACAGACAGACAGACAGACAGACAGACAGACAGACAGACAGACGGGTAGCAGTGTTTTCAAAAAATATTTTATTGAAGGCAAGTTTCCTGAAAGGAAAAGTAAGGTTTGAAGGCCATATAAATGGCCACAAGACACTGGCGACTACAAAGGCGTGGAAATATATGAGACATGCACATTGGCAAGAGGTCGAGAAACTCTCTGCCGGGCAGTGATGGGAGCTGCGTCAGCATGATAAATAGCTATATAAAAGTAAAAGCACCCTTTGACACCGGTGGCTCATAGTTTTGGAGACCGGTGTGTTGTGTGGTCAAATTCGAGTCCGTCAACTTTACTTCCCAAGACTTTACCTGGTAGCCGATTAAAACTCGGAGCCAAGGTCAGTTTTGGATTTTTGATTCGAACCCAAGACATTTGGACCAACAGGCTAGTCTATAGAAACCAGCCAATCGCGGCTCCCAAAACGGTACACATGACTGGTTAAATAAGGCTTGACACTTTTATACTGAATTATTTACAACCACCATTATCTGCACCTATTATCGACATGACTACTTTTCTTTGTCACCCTATTTAACGACCAGTATTATCAAAAGGCTTTTATTTTCCCACATCAGGTAAGGAGCATAGCATAATTCCCCTAGGTGTGTCCAACAAGGAAACCAACGAAGCAGTCACCCCAAGGACTTTGTTCTACCTGAGCACTATCACCCAAGCCTTCACTGCCACCCTTCTGGCACAGCTCACTCAGAGATCTGAAGGCAGGTACGGACTACAGATCAATCCGAAAATTCTCTAAACATAGCATTTAAATTATTAAAAACAAACGCTGTGGACAATAACAGGCCGCATTTAAACAATTATAGAAAGTGCGGAAGACACCTCACAGGTTACGAGAGGATGTCGAGGAGTTAAAAAGAGTTAGAAAAGAAAACGTAAGAGGGGAAGCCCATAAAAAGGTCAAAAATGATTGTTAAAAAAAAAAGAAAAAAACCAGAAAAAAAAACTAAAAACGATAAAACCTTGAGAACTGTCTTTAAAAAAAAAAAAAAAACACACATACACAGTCCCTTTATTTTTCAAACTACTTTCCACCAACATTGATGCACTAGTCCAATCGTTGTATTAGTTCCCTTAATCTGCTGCATAGAACTACGCGCTCTGTTTTCTTAACCACATTTTCACTTCACGTTCAACTTCTGCGTCATTCGCGAAATACCTCCCACCAAGGCGGGTTTTCAGTGGACCAGAATGGTGGAAATCACTATGGGCTAAGTCGGGGCTGTAGGATGGATGTTCCAGAAGTTCCCACCCTAGATGATTCGTATTCTCCTGACTTAACCCGGCCGTATGTGGTCTGGTATTGTCATGAAGGAGCAGTACTCCTCTAGTCAGCTTTTTATTGGAACTGCATCATGAAGCATCAAAAGAACTTTACAGTATTTATCAGCATTCATTTTGTCACTTTTTTTCTTCTTCAAATTGGTTAAAAGCACTCCTTAACCATCACAGAATACTGTCAGCATAACCTTCCTTGCTGATGGTGTAAACCTAAAAAGAATTTAAAAAATCCTGAATTTTTCAACACACGGCGGAGTAGGATGTTTCTATTGTATTGAAGCACAATTTGATTCGGTCTGGTAGTGATGCGCCTATATTTCGTCCCCAGTAATATTCCTGTTCAGCGTGTCTTCTCCTTCATCTGCGTATCGACAGAGATGCTACAAGTGCAGGCCTAATTATTTTATTTTGTGTTCGTCTATCAATTGTCTGGGTACCCACCTTGAGCTTATTTTCTTAAATTTCAATCTATCATGCATTATGTTGTATGCTGACCATGTGGGCACCCTACTGCAGTTCCTCCAGAGCCAGCCGCGACTCGCCTATCACCTCTAATCATCTCCTCCACCCGCTGCACGGATGCGTCTGTTGTAATCGCAACAGGACGACCAGATCGGACTTTGTCAACAATTTAGAGCTTCCTTTAGAATTTTTTTACCCTGCAATGCGCCGCTTTACGGGATAAACACTTGTCAGCATAATCAGGAAGCATTTCTTTATGAATGTCCGTTGCATGCAGCTCCTCCACCCCCTCCTCACCCCTTCCCCTCCCAACGTTGTTCTTTAAAGGTACACTCCGTAAGTACAGTCGCCATTTTGTTTCACCTAGCGTTACCTAACGAATGGAGACATAAAGTTTGATGTTGCTGCCACCTAATGACACCTTTAGAAACCACCAACTAAATTTTCCTGCCAATCCATAACCATTTGTAACTCACTTATTGATTTCCTTTCGTAGAAGAGTTCAAGCGGTGTGCAGCAGATGCAAGGAAGGTTAAATGGTTACAATTTGTGATTGAAATTGGAGGGGATAGATCACTAGGTAGGTTTTGGAATCTTCACAAACACATACAAAGGAAGGATCCGCCTATTACAGCAGGTATTATATACACTAATAATGGTTTGCCAATGACAACAAAGAGAAAGGGGAAGCATTTTTGAAGAGATTTATAACCCAAGCTCATCATAATGATAGAGAGCTTATAAATTCAGTTAGGGATAATCTGTTTAATACTTTAATTGTTAATTATTTTAAGGATATCATTAGGGTGGAGGATATAAAATGTATACTGACAAATCAAAGGACCCTGCGCCAGGGATAGACGTAGTCAGGTATGCCCACATGAAGAGCATGGGTGATGATGACTTGGGGGTGATGACTTTTCACTTTAACCAGAGCATCATAACAGCGTCAGTATCCCAGGAATGGTTACACAGCTACCTAATCCCACATCCAAAATTAGGCAAGGACCATTCCGCACTTTACCGTTTCAGGATTATAATCCTACAATATAATTTTGGCAAGGTGCTAGAGAAGATTATTGTTGTTAAACTACAAATTTTTTTAGAAAGGGAAGAGCTCCTGCCAAAATGTTTGGGTAGTTACCGGCCACGGAGAGACACGTGATCAAATGCAGCTACTTTTGCTTTTGATGTTTACGAGGGATTCCATAATGAACAGAAGACATTTGTGGCAGCACTTGATCTTGAGGATGACTACAGTAGAGTCAGATGGGATATATTGATATCTTCGCTCATGGAGAAGCGGAATTTGTTCGTGGCTTGTGAACTTGATTGCAGCTTTCCTGCATACATGGATGGTTGCCCTTCGCCTGCCTACATTGATCTCAGAACCATGTAATATCGCCCCGGGACTACCCCAGGGTTCTGAGATTTCACCAATGCTCTTTAATGTGTATACAAGCAAGACTGCAGAACTTGAAACCCCAGGTAAGGATATCGACCTTTGCAGATGATGTTATTTTAATTCAACATTCAACAAGGCGCAGAATGTTCTCTTGCTAGAAAACAATGCACACTGATCAGAGGTGTTTGTTTTTAAAATGGCTTCCAGTATGTTACTATACTGACCCAACTAATCTATACTAATCCAACAAAAAGAAATTCTGGTCTTCTTTCAATGTTTTTTTTTGGTTTAAACGGTAATAGTTTTGAACTTTGTTTTTAAAGGAATAAAAGGATGACTTTAACGCCAGTCTCGTATCGGGCACACGATGCTACACTAACAGTTTTTACAGATCAATGGTCACTTCATAACCACTTAACAACTCCTTTACTTCCAGAATTTTTCATTTCCAATCAGGGACCTCCAAGGAAGTTATGATTAGGGCACCCGTAGCGGTTACACTTTGGTGTTTTTTGCAGTCTTGTGCAGATAAGGATTTTGCTAGATATTTCGAACATCTTTTTAGAGTTTAATCAAACGGTCTTGTTGGATGTAACATCGACAAGAGCTGAATACACCAAGCATACACAGACAATCGGCGACATGAAAAGGTCTAAACTTAAAACTGACAGCAACCAGGAAGCTCTGAGGGAAGAAACAAAACAGAGAGGGGGGGGGTGGAGGGGGGGGGGTGGAAGGGGGGGGGGGACCTTGCAGGAAAATGTTAAACAGCTAGAAAACAGGGCATTGAGAATCAAGGTGATTATTGACAATAAGCAAACAAAAACTCTAGTCATAAATAACGACCAGTGCTATACGACTAGATAATAAGAGCAACCAGTGCTAACTTAACGTATCATAAGTAAATTAGTAAAAGTGTCTGTTACATTTAATAAATCTCTTCTAATAGCATACAGTTTGATGTGCCCATCGCACAGCTGATTGGTCCTGAGCTGCAACTATCCAGCGAGAGACTGACAGAGACGGTCACTCTGAGGGACGCTCTCATGCACAGAACAGGCCTGTCTACAGGTAGGCTACATACCAGGCCAGTCCAGTTGTTTATTTCAAACACCATCATCATGCAGCAAGCTCTTTGCGGAACGTCCCTGTTATCATAACTTGCCTGAAAGAAACCGGTCCCTCACTTTATCTTTCGTTTAATGCACTTTCCTACGCAAATTCTCCGTTAGACTTTACTTACTCTGATATCGTTCTCCTTTTTCCACAGTTCGTGTTATTGATCTGCTTGGTCTGGTGGCTTTACCATAAGATCTTAGAGAATTTTTTTTTTTTTGGGTGTCTTTTTTATGATAAGTTTTTGGTATAATAATGTAATAGTTTGCCCTTTAGTGTAGACCAGGGCCATTCAGTTAGGTTTAATCAAGGGCCAACATTTTGCACATTTGGATCTTCACCGACCAGAGGCCTGAGCCCCAGCAGGGACATATCACTTATGCAATACAACTGGCGATGACCCAGGGGCCACTCTCTGGGTCCCCTGGGCCGCCAGTTAAATAGCCTTGTATAAACTCTGTACTGCGTCTATCTTGTAGATTGTCAGGGCAAGTGACCCCATGGCTCTGTGATACTACTGTTACAGCAAAAAGTACTCAGAAGTGTTCACCCATCCCGGTGGATGCTCGATCCCCATAGCTATGCTGGCCACACCGCAGTGTGTTCACTATGTCGTACCGTCTGGAGATGCAGTTAAGGTTCTGCCCTAGGACCAGAATTGCATTTCTCATAACTCTGCAGTATTTTCAGAGGATTTGGTTTTTTAAAATATTTAAAAACAAAATTATATATTTCTATCATCATCATCAAGTAGCAGGTCCTTTGCAGAATGTTGCTCTCATCACAGTCTGCCTAAAAGAAACTCGGTCTCTCGCCAGTTCTCCCGCCTCATGCACTTTCACACTCAAGGAGTCACTTATATCCTGTGCCCATCTTCGTGTCGGTCGGCACCTGCCCCTCGTTCCTGGTACAATGCCTTTTGCTATAATTTTCTCCAACCCATCGTGGCGCTTGATATATATTTCTATACCGCTAGAAAATGGCGACCTCTCATTCTCGTCTGGCTAAAGGAAGGAGAGATGTTTTCCCAGAGGCGCCACTGGCGTGAATATGGTCATGTAGGTACCTACTTTCTGTCGACACTGGGCTGCTCGTGTCATTATTGTGTTTTTCTCTTGATTTTCGACAGTACATCTACCAAGAAGTTGCTTTAGTGTAATAGATGCCATTCATAAGCAGTGTTCATTCCCGTCCCACCATGGGACGCAATGTTTAGTTATATTCAAGCCCCGGTAGTGGAGGCCCTAATATAACCTAACGATTGAACAGGGTTTCTGGGACTTCTGTCCGGCCTGATCCTCATCCGAATGGTGGCACTTTGTGTCAGCGGGTGTTGGTCGCTCTTTGTTCGGTCCTGGTGGGGTTAAACGACCCACACACATGCCACTACAACAGCTTACAAAGCAAAGCACTCAGCACTGATCTTGTCCTTTGTTTTTTTGTCTCTGCCTCTCCTGTCAGATCTCTCTCTCTCTCTCTCTCTCTCTCTCTCTCTCTCTCTCTCTCTCCCACTCTCCACCCTCCGCCTCCTCTGCCTCTATATCGCTCGAAGACATAGAACCAGTGTTACAAAATCTTTTGAATGTGTGTACATACCTCATATATAATTTGTTGCGTGTTGTCTCGTTGGTTGTTGCCTTGATCTAATCTAGTTGCACCGTCCTACCAGGAAGTATTGCTGGAATGACAGGGCTACCCCAAGCGATGTCGAGGAGCCAAGTTATCAGGTATTCTCTTTGTTTTACAGAGTTTCAACAGCCACCGCTGATGACAGCTGCTGCTTCTTCTTCATAGTTGTGATGTCTATCTTGTTTATTACTGTGCTGAGTCTTGTTAGCTATTGTTTTCTCTTAATCTGGATTTTGTTATTCGTTTTCCTTTTGTTTTCACTTTTCTCGCCTTAGCTTTTGTTATCTTCGATCTCACTGTTTTTGTTGTTTATATTCTTACTATTCTTTTTTTTTTTTTTTAGTCCGTTTCTAAAATATTTAATATTATTTGTATTGTTGTTGATTTGGTTTTGTCGCGCATATTCTTGTCCCACTTTTTCATATTATTATGGTCTCATTCTTAATCATAACGAGCTTGTTCTTTCTTTCTTTCTTTCTTTCTTTCTTTCTTTCTTTCTTTCTTTCTTTCTTTCTTTCTTTCTTTCTTTCTTTCTTTCTTTCTTTCTTTCTTTCTTTCTTTCTTTCTTTCTTTCTTTCTTTCTTTCTTTCTTTCTTTCTTTCTTTCTTTCTTTCTTTCTTTCTTTCTTTCTTTCTTTCTTTCTTTCTTTCTTTCTTTTTCTTGTTCTACATTTGTGTGTGTGTGTGTGTGTGTGTGTGTGTGTATGCGTGTGCGTGTGTGGGTGTGGGTGTGGGTGGGTGTGGGTGTGTGTGTGTGTGTGTGTGCCTTTTCCCTCTAGTCTACAAAAATTCTTGTTGGTTTTATTCTTGTTGTCCTCATTGCTCATTTTGTGGGTTTTCTCATTTTTGATATATCCTCCTTCTTATCCTTCCTCCCCCGCCTTCTCCCCCTCACCCACTCAGACGATATATTATCTATCAAAACCAGCATTAAGTGGCCTACATACAAATGTACAGCCCTCTGTAGCACGACCCTTGTCTCAGCCAGCCTCAGGATTTTTTTTCTTTCTGAGATATAACAGCCAGAACTCATTTCAAATCTGTTTACATGACCACCCAGGCGACACAAACACCGGGTAAAATTAATGCATTTGCTGAAAGAGCCCAAGTGTTTTGAAACATTCACTTCTGAAAGTAGTTCACCATGGTTTATAACGTCATTACCCGTTGTTGATTGTGTCGTGTTTATACTGGATTCTGTCATGTGAGGGAAATTCTGCATTCTTCACGTCAGTGCCTTCACCTATCATCGTTGTCTCCATCATCATTGTCATGTGTCAGTCGATAAGCGTAGGTGGTCCGGTTACGCAAGTTTACACAATGACCATAATCACTGATCAGGACATTGCTCTTGTTTCGCCTCATCCACGTCAATGGGGTATTTCTCTTTATACCTTTCTCTTTCTCTCTTTCGATCAATCTTGACAGTTGTAGCCAAGTTTTCGAATCCATTTAATCCCATAACATGTTTGAAAAACACCGACTGTCTAAGTCTAATGTCTGTCACTTCACATACTTCACCAGTAATGAATCAGTCTTGTCTATCTAATTTAAAACGAGGGGCATCAAATGAAAAACTTAAAAATATGATAGTAATTACGATCCCTGTGCCGTTATCTTGTAAGCTGTCAGTAATGTTGTTAAGGATGTCAAGAATGTTAGGCAGTGACATCACGGTGCAAACTAGCACGGTTAGTCATAATGGTAATTTAAAGATGACTGCCCCACTTTTGACACGCACTATGGGGCGCAAACATGGAGAACAACTAACGCAATTACTATAATAAATTACAGACATTCATTAACTGGTGCCTGCGCAGAATAGAGGGAATAAAATGGTACGATAGAATAACTAATGTAGAGCTTTGGGAGAGAACTAAATAGGCCCCAGTGGACCAAGAGATGAGGAAAAGACTCTGGCGTTGGATAGGATACACACTGAGAAAACAGGAGAACAGCATAACTAGAATGTCTTTGCATTGGAACACACAGGTGCATAGGAATAAAGGAAGAAAAAAAAAACACACGGAGAAGAGAGCTGGGGAAGGAAGTTAAAAAGATGGGGAGGACATGTGGAGAGCTCCATGTAATGACGAAAGATAGAACGACTTGGCATCAGTTGGTTGAGGGCCTATGCTCCATTGGGGGATAGAAGGGCAGAAGTAGTAGTAGAAGAAGAAGAAGAAGAAGAAGAAGAAGAAGAAGAAGAAGAAGAAGAAGAAGAAGAAGAAGAAGAAGAAGAAGAAGAAGAAGAAGAAGAAGAAGAAGAAGAAGAAGAAGAAGAAGAAGAAGAAGAAGAAGAAGAAAGAGGCGCACAGTTCGGTAATTCGATTTCTTTTAAATCAGTTAAGGGGTTAAACCCATGGAAATTTATCGGTGAATGAATGTCCAATATAGGGATGCTTACCTGCCACTCCAGCAAAGGTATCATGATGTGTAGTAGGAGGATTAAAAACGGCATGACTTTTGTGACATACTATTTACGACCAGGGTGATGTCACATGCCTAAAACTTTTGACATCCTCACCAACAATATTGACAGGATACAAGGCAATAGCATGCTTGTGTCATTTCTATCACACTTTTATGGTTTCCGTTTGAAACGTTCCTTATACATTTATCTGTATTAATATTTATATCGTTGGCGGGAAACCCGAAGTACGCTGGGACAACAGCAAATTTGGAGGGAAACAGAAACGGGTAGAGTCTAAGAAAAGTGGTTCGTTATCATAACATAGACAGAATAACATTTGAACTACAAAATGATTGTCTGTACACAGGACAGAAGGCTAAGAACAGACTTGGTGACGAACGCTTCACGAGATGGATCTAATGAAAATAGATAACCACTTTTCTGCTTCTTTGCTGTAAATTCCTGTGGAAGTTCTAATTGTTCGTTCACTTCTTGACTTAAGTCTTGTTCCAAAACTTGAAGTTTGCCTGCACATCCGTTTTACAGATTTGGCTTTTTTTTTTTAAGCAGACAGTCGGTTCCTATCTCTCAGCAAGATGGACCCCGACTTCGAAAGAAACATCCCTAATTAGTAAAACATGATGACATGCTTGCTGGGGGAAGGAACAACGGGTCGGTTAGTCTGTTATCTTTCTTCCCCCTGCCTGCCCTTAAATGGGTACCTGGAGCCCAGAAAGAAAGACAAATACTTAACATCGATAGTGATTTAACATTCTCTTTTCTTACACATTTTGTACTTAACAGATGCACAGATGCTGGTTTTACAGCTAGGTTTTGTTCCCATCTGATTTCCTTGAAATGAAATCTAGATTTTTATACAGTTTTGCCTTTCTTCATCGTTGGAGCATCAGCTGCAATACTTTCTGAGCTGGAAAGAATTAATATCAACCACTTCACGTGTCCCCAGCAACTTGAAAGAAATACCCATGCAAGCAGACTTTAGAGACGACTTCCGGTTCAACCAGTTTGGCATCACCCTGGCGGCATACGTCGGGGAGAAGGTCACCAGTAGTACCTGGGAGAAGCTGATGCGGGTCCATCTGCTGGACAAGTTGCTGATGACCTCAACAACTGTGGCCACCGACGACCGGTCCAGTCCGGATTTTTCCAGGTCATACGTGTCAGTTGATGGTCTTCTGGTGGAGACTGATCCTAAGATTTTTGAGTAAGTTGTGGACATCATTGTTGTGGACATTGTTATGGACATTTTTGTGGACATCATTGTTATGGACATTGTTGTGGACATCATTGTTGTGGACATTGTTGTGGACGTTGTTGTGGACATCATTGTTATGGACATTGTTATGGACATTTTTGTGGACATCATTGTTGTGGACATTTTTATGGATATTGCTGTGGACATCATTGTTATGGACATTGTTATGGACATTTTTGTGGACATCATTGTTGTGGACATTTTTATGGATATTGTTGTGGACATCATTGTTATGGACATTGTTATGGACATTTTTGTGGACATCATTGTTGTGGACATTGTTATGGACATTTTTGTGGACATCATTGTTATGGACATTGTTATGGACATCATTGTTGTGGACATTGTTGTGGACATTGTTATGGACATCATTGTTGTGGACATTGTTGTGGACATTGTTGTGGACATTGTTGTGGACATCATTGTTGTGGACATTGTTATGGACATTTTTGTGGACATCATTGTTATGGACATTGTTATGGACATTTTTGTGGACATCATTGTTATGGACATTGTTGTGGAAATTTTTGTGGACATCATTGTTGTGGACATTGTTGTGGACATTTTCGTGGACATCAATGTTATGGACATTGTTATGGACATTTTTGTGGACATTATTGTTGTGGACATTGTTATGGACATTTTTGTGGACATCATTGTTATGGACATTGTTGTGGACGTTGTTGTGAACATTGTTGTGGACATTGATGTGAACATTGTTGTGGACGTTGTTGTGAACATTGTTGTGGACATTGATGTGGACATTGTTGTGGACATTGTTATGGACATTGTTGTGGACATTGTTGTTTGGACGGTGTTGTGGACATTGTTGTGGACCATATTGCGGACATTGTTGTGGACATTGTTGTGTACGTTGTTGTGGACATTGTTGTGTACGTTGTTGTGGACATTGTTAGGAACATTGTTGGGGACATCATTGTTGTGAACGGTGTTGTGGACATTGTTGTGGACATCATTGTTGTGGACGTTGTTGTGGACATTGTTGTGGACATTGTTGTGGACATCATTGTTGTGGACGGTGTTGTGGACATTGTTGGGGACATTGTTGGGGACATTGTTGGGGACATTGTTGTGGACATTGTTGTCGACATTGTTGGGGACATTGTTGTGGACGTTGTTGTGTACGTTGTTGTGGACGTCGTTGGTATTACCATACACTGCAAAATATCTATCGGACTTACGGAGACGCAGTCTCATTTTATCACCCAGTCATCCATCGCTGTTACCCTGGCTAAATGGTGATAGTATAACACCCAGTCACCCATCGCTGTTACCCTGACTAAATGGTGAATGTATAACACCCAGTCACCCATCGCTGTTACCCTGACTAAATGGTGAATGTATAACACCCAGTCACCCATCGCTGTTACCCTGACTAAATGGTGAATGTATAACACCCAGTCATCCATCGCTGTTGCCCTGACTAAATGGTGAAAGTATAACACCCAGTCACCCATCGCTGTTACTCTGACTAAATGGGAATGTATAATAATGTTAAGTATTGACTAAGTTATTTTCATCCAAGATTTACACAGTTCACTGGATTCATGTTACCTACATCACTCACTATAAGTCTGTGTCTACTTGTTGTACTAAAACGAGAGTTACTCTGTTGAGTATATTTCCATTTCCTAATATTCAGGAAGCCAATATCAATGAAATGCCTAGAAGCACATAAATGCTAAATGACAACATGTGAGATGAGATGAACAAGAAATGCAGCATAATAAACCCCAGAAGAGACAAGTCACCAGTAAAGAAATAAGAACTATGGTAGACACAGTGCCGATAACTGATGTCAAAAAACTTCAAAGAATCCAATGATTTGGTCATGTGATCAGAACTGAACTAAACCAGCCAGCAGTTAAAGTGTTCTACAACACCAGAAAAGCAGGCTACATTCAAGTCAAGAGGTCGACCAAGAAAGAGGTGGGTGAAGGGAGTATAAAAGACTCAACATAAACGAAATATAACATTAACACAGTCTAGGTAACTATCAACAGACAGGAAACTACATCTAACTCCATTCGCGGCATAAGTAGTGGGACAAAAGAAGAGAAGCAGTATATAAATGAAAGACCACAAAAGAAACAGTTCAACTTATAGTGTATGTGTATTAGTATTTATATGACTAAAACTACTTTTGACAGGCTGTTTCTCGTGAATTACATTATAATAAAATAAAGCAATGCAAACCAACCGTAAGTGCGTTTGACACGGTGCTCTCTCTCTCTCTTTCTCTCTCTCTCTCTCTCTCTCTCTCTCTCTCTCTCTGTGTGCGTGTTCGTGTGTATGTCTACGTGTTCAAACATACCATGACATAACTGTCTGGCATACATCTCTATCACCGAAACGTCAAACACAAGTCTTATCGTCATCATTTGAATTTCAGCATAGGTCCTTTGGCCCCGGCTGCGACGATGTTCACAAACGCCGAGGACATGGTCAAGGGTCTCAAGTTCTTCCTGGGAGACCCGTTCTTGCTGTCGCAGACTCGCATGCCAGCCCCGCTGCTCGAGGAGCTGATGATCCCACGAATCCTGCTGCCCATTGGCTATCGCGCCAGTCTCGACAGAAGCAGCTACATCTGGCCGGTACCGGACATCAATGTGGGATATGGCATGGGATTCTTCACCAATGTCTATCGAGGTTGTTCGGCCATTTGTGATTCATTTTAATGTTAAATACAAGCGACAGTGCTGTAGGTAGACTCTTTACCCATGTCCTCGAAGATTTTCGGTTTAATTCCGTGCTAGGCGTTTTAAATTTTTTTTTTTTAATTTTAACTAATTGACTTTGATTCCATTGTCAACCCAGCCCAAACTGTGCGCCAGGAATGGAAATGGGTTGCATAGATGTCCCATTCACTGTTAACTTCATCAGTCAGCAAGAGCCGACTGATCTATACAAATGTAGCAATGACATCATAATCCCAATGCTACAATGGCGTGAATGGAGCTCTTTGCTTACTTTTTATTTACTAGTGATGACTCGTCAACTGAAACATTCCTTATTTCTTTCTAGCCGTTTCGCGAGGGGGAAATACTACCGTTTCATGTGCTTTTATTCTTTATACAGCTTCAAGCGTGAGAATGGAAGTGAGGGCAATAACTGCAGCTCTGAAAAGAATACCTGGACGTTGATATACCAAAATAGTGACAGTGTCTGAATTGCCGAAAGGTCAAAATGGACACGTGTAGCATAAGTCGCTACCAAGAATCGACACTTAAGTAGCACAGGAATTAACAAATGTATACTGTCTAGAATATGCAAGAGAGCGAGCCACGGAAAGAGCAGATGATATGGCAAAAAAAGCGACAACAGCGTGAAATCACATACTGGACAAGACAAATATTCTAATTATATTTTTATGAAATAATGCTGATAGGACATGCTATGTTAGACAAATGGAGATGTGTACGGTTGAGTGAATTTAGAATTTTGTATGGGTCCAGTAAGAAAACGAACGTTTGTACAGCAAGTGTGCTACTGGAACACTCGGGATCTAATCTGAAGATACTTTATGCTGAAGAATTCTAAGAGTGTGCCGCGAATGGCATGATGTGTTTTCTTAAATCAGCATTCAGTAATCTGTTTCAGATGTGTCCGCGAGTCTGTGTACAAACAATCAATTTACCTGGTTACATTCTTCCACAGGATTTCAGGTTCCGTGGGCTGGCAGTACCACTCATGGCTTTAGCTCCATAATGTGGCTCATCCCAGAGAGAAGTATCGGCATTTTCCTTTCCATCAACGGACAGAAACATTCGCAAATACCGCTTGCAACACTGCAGGTACTACCTTCTTCTTATCGTATATAGTAGTTGTTCACACATTTACCGATATACAAGTTTTGAGAGAGATAATGGGTTACACACAAACCGACCGTCGAGGCCTAGGGCACGGGAAAGTCAATTGGTGGTCGAAGGCCTCAGCCAAAGAGCGCCGAGACATGGTAATACAAACGGTGAGGGACAACGAAAACGAGGTTCGGGTCCAGAAAGCAGCCCAGCAGTCGCAGCAGGGCCATTGGGTCAGCATGGAGAGCGCATTGCCAAGAGTACTCACATGGGGTGAGATCTGGCGGATGACCACTCTGCGACTGAGCTTTATCGTTCGTTCGGCGTACGATATATTACCGTCCGGTGTTAACATGGTTAAATGGTCTGCGACCAACGATCCGACTTGCCCGTTGTGCAAATCGAAGCAAACTCTTGAGCACGTCCTGTCCGCGTGCAGGAAAGCCCTAGGTCAAGGCCGATATACCTGGCGCCACAACAAGGTGCTAAAAGAGTTAGCAGCCGTTGTCGACCAGGCTAGAATGAGGGATAACGCCAGAGCCAGTTCTAGTATCGTCCCCATTCGTTTCCTCAAGACTGGGCAGGTTCCAAAAGGTAAGGTCAACCAAAACGCATTCGCTCCATCTGTGCTAGACTCTGCGAGGGACTGGTTACTGGCGGTTGATCTGCCAGGCCATGAACGGTACCCCGAGTTGATCCGTAAAACCGGCCTGCGACCGGATATCGTTCTCCATTCTGCGCAAAAACGGCAGCTCATCCTGATTGAGTTGACTGTCCCGTTTGAGTCGCGTATGGAGGAGAATCATTTGTACAAGCTCAAGAAGTACAGTGATTTAGCAGCCGGTTTAAGGAGAAACGAGGCTTACACAGTACGGGTATTTGCCGTCGAAGTGGGAGCGAGAGGCCTCGTTTCCACTTCGCTCTACAATGTGGTGAAAGAATTAGGATTGCGCGGTAATGAACGGAAACGAACACTCAAAAAACTGGGAGAGGCAGCCTGGGGGGCCTCTAGCTGGCTTTGGACGCAGCGCAACAACGTAGGGGACGGGCCTCGGGGAGCTGGTCCGGGTGTCTAGTGGAAAAGGGTTTCTCACCACTTTGAAAGTCCATCGTGTCCGAATTGTCTGCCAGTGTTCCTCTGCCAACTGCTAATAAAAGTCCAACATGTGTCCGGTAAACCAAAGTAAGCTTGTCGCTCAGTCGTCCAGGCATGCTGACTGCTTTAATTAGGCTGCCGTGGCGACTTTTTATCTCACAGTACCTCCTGCGAAACCACCAAGTCGTCTTGTCTCTGGCCGAAAGAATAACACCATCCGGTAATTCCGTGCAGCGGGGAACCAGCCCTGAGCTTCATGAACTCAGGAGGGCCCACCTCCGAATGCGTCTAGGAATCGTGGGCCGAAACGCGTGTCGACGAGGATAATTTCTACTGACGACTGGTAGATCCCTGCTGTACTTGCTCCCTGTGAGTTTATTCCTACTGAGATCTGGCGAATGGCCCCGCTGGGACTGAGCTTTGTCATAAAATCTTCTTACGATGTGTTACCTGCAGGCGCCAACATGGTCAGATGGCACGCCACTGACTACCCGACATGTTCCTCCTGTGCGCTTCCTCAAGGCTGGGCAGATGTCTACAGGTTAATTCGCATACGCTCCTTCCATACTTAACTGGGCGAGAGAGACTGGTCACTGGCGCTTGACCTGCATGGTTTCGAAAACCCTGAAGCAATCCCAAAGACCAGACATGGTTTTGCACTCTGCGACAGAATGCCAGCTTATCCTGACTGATCTTAGCGTGCCGTACGAGTCACGGATTGAAGAAAACCACCCGTACTAGCTCTCAAAGTACAATTAACTGGTGGCCAGTCTTATGAGCGACGAGGGGTACTCAGTAAATCTCTTCGCCGTCGGGGTAGTTTGCAAAAGGGCTAATCTCCACCTACTATGTACTAAAGCATCTGTGCTTGCAAGGAAAGGAACGGAAACGGGAGCTAAAACAACTGGGGGAAGCTGCCGAAAGAGTTACGAGCTGGCGGTGGACACAAAATTTAGTGGGAAATAGGATTTGGTAAAATGCTTCGAGTGCCTAGCAAAAAAAAAAAAAAAGAACTTTTTAATTACTAAAGCCACAGTTTTCAGAGTAAAGTATTATTGTGTCTCTCTGGCAATTGCGAAAGCCTGTCTTGCGAAAGTCGGTCCGATGAACCAAGCAATGGACGCTAGACAGCGGCGCTAATCGGAGCGGAGGCAAATTTTTTGCTTCTGCCGGACGGTGGCCGATGCATTTTTGCTCCATTTGTAGACTGGATATAGTTTCGTCGCCCAGCTTCTGAGTTGAATGCATGGCGTGACCCTGTGAGCTGCGGATTGCATTTGGAATGTTTTTTCGACTGTGACCAACGTGGTGTGAATTGTAGATTCAGAAAATGGCGCGATGCCGGTCGTGCAATGCTGGCGGGACCCGTATTAAAAAAAAGTTCTGCTATCATCAATGATGAACTACATTTCTAATGTTGGACTGTTTGTGTTAGCACTTCGGATGGCTACCATATGCGTTAATGCGAGTGTATGCTAGATATGCTGAGACAGCAGTCTGTCAATCTTTCCACAAGGGACTGTGATAAACATTCTGGGTGTTTTTCGCTGGCACAGGAGCGGAGCAAAGATGGGGCGACCCGTTTGCTATGAAGCTGAAACTAAGACTACCAGACTACCAGACTACCATCACTCTGGTCGTGAAGGTGGGCGTCTAATTTGCTACCTCGGTGACAAATATATAACACCAAACCTGAGTACCAGTTGCAAAGCCACTATTTCGTCTTGTCCAAATGTCCGTAAAGTGTAGCAGGAGATGTCCTAGGCCTGGAGTTGTGACCCAGGCCGACTCACCCGCTGAAACTGTCTAGGAGGAAAATGGGGCGAAACTATTGTCAAAGAGGGACCCTTTTACTGATCACCGGTAGTAAGTCCTGCTGTGCTTGCTCCCGATGTGGAATTTTTGTTACTATATTAAAGAGAAAAAAATCTTTTGATAGAGCCACTAAAGTGGAGTTTTAGGAGACAATTACATATTCTAGTGAATTAGGGAAGTGACCAAAAGACGCTGACATCTGTTAGGACACTATGAGAAAACCCAAGAACAGCATAGCAGAATATCGTTATACTGGAACCCCCATAGAAATAAAGGCATATACACTACTCTTACTTTTTTTTCACACACACACGCCTACACACGGAGAAAGGAACCAGAGGGTGAGATTAAAAGGCTGAGAAGACATGCGGTAAGCTGCATGCAATAGCAAAGGATAGGATGACTTGACGCGAGTTGGTTGAGGGCCTATGCAACTCCTTTTTCTTCTCTAAAGTAGATCATGGCCTCTGCTTCATTGAGAGGAGGAGGAGGCGGATGATGAGGAGAGAGAGAGAGAGAGAGAGAGAGAGAGAGAGAGAGAGAGAGAGAGAGAGAGAGAGAGAGAGAGAGAGAGAGAGGTAGGTTGGGGGGGGGGGGGGGGGGGGGGGGGGGGATAAAAAAGCGGAAAATTAAGAAACAAGAATTCAGCAACCGTGGTTAGGGTTCGGTAGTTTCCATAATTTAGCATACCGGGTACGAACGAAATTTGCCGCGGATAATTGGGCGGCATGCCGCTGTGATTTTTTTTTTTTATAACGGTATCAGCCGTTCAGAAAGCAGTGACAGACTGCTGAACGTAAAGTTATCTAAAAAACCTCAGTGTAGTAATGAAATGCTAGGGATGGTTTATAACGCTCTCGAAAGGACAGGGAGTTGTTTCTACTACTACAACTACTACTACTACTACTACTACTACTACTACTACTACTACTACTACTACTACTACTACTACTACTACTACTGCTACTACTACTACTACTACTACTACTACTACTACTACTGCTGCTGCTGCTGCTGCTGCTGCTGCTGCTGCTGCTGCTACAACAACAACAACAACAACTACTACTACTACTACTACTACTACTACTACTACTACTACTACTACTACTACTACTACTACTTCTACTACTACTACTACAACTACTACTACTACTGCTACAACTACTACTACTACTGCTACTACTTCTACTACTACTACTACTACTACTACTACTACTACTACTACTACTACTACTACTACTACTACTACTACTACTACTACTACTACTACGACGACGACGACTACTACTACTACTACTACTACTACTACTACTACTACTACTACTACTACTACTACTACTACTACTACTACTACTACTACTACTACTACTACTACTACTACTACTACTACTACTACTACTACTACTACTACTACTACTACTTCTACTACACAGCAAGAAGAATTCTACCAACAAACTAGAAAAAAATGTCTCATTTAGGTTCTAATCATCAGCATCATCATTATGATCGTCGTCATCTCATGTTGTGCTATGAATATCATATATCGCTTGCAGTCCGTTGTATCCTTTGCAAACTGACAGATATCATGTATGGAATCCAGCTCGCCACCTCTTTCCTTGCTCATCAACATTCATCATCAGATTTTGTGCCTAGTCTGCAAATTTATTGGTCATTCTCTGCTCAAACTGTGCCTAATAATACGATCATCGTGTTCCTTTAGTTTGCAAACATACCTTCCCCCCCCCCCCCCCAACAAAAAAATCAGACTCTAGTGTTTATCTGTCTTGTTTGCTACAAGCTTACATAAACCGTTGATGCGTTTCTCTGTTCAGGTGCAAGCGAGAGGGAGGATGGATGTTCTGTTGTTATCTAATACAATAAGACGTTTCAGTTGATTAAACTAGCCAGTAGGTTTCAAACACACACACACACACACACACACACACACACACACACACACACGCACACATATATATATATATATATATATATATATATATATATACACGCAGACTAGTACATATCCGGGAAGGCTAACCCAGTCAACAAATACCTGCAGAAGTCGGATGTGTCGCCTACAAGG